CTTACTGCTAATTGTCAAACGGCTTTCCGCGCGCGCTTTGTTTTGCGTGCGGCGTGCTCCCCGTGCCTAGACAAAGGCAGTGCTCTTAAGGCACCTTTGTTGAGGTTTCATTTAAAGAAAAAAAAAAAAAAAGGCAATCTTTCCTCATATTCAATACTTGAACATAATGATCCGCTCTGAATGCCTTGAGCACTTAAGTAAGAGAAACGCACTGGCACCTAATTGCACAGGGGCAAACAGAGCTGCTGGAGTACATCCCAAAGTGATTTCCGGACAGCTTTGTTTAATTTGTTAATCATTTCTGTTGAAAATGCTTATTAGATGGTCGTGAGTGCACTCAACCGTAAGCAACCCTATGACAGCTAGCATAGCTTGTCATTTGAAAGTGGTAGAACTTGGCTGACGTTACAGCTAGAAGCGGGCAACTTCTGAAAGTGCTGGTACTTGAGAATTCACTCAGGGACCATTTACCTGAGTCCGTGCATCCTCCTTGGCCTTTTCTCTAAAAAATGGGGCAGAGCCGGGCACGCACCTGAATGTAGGGTAAGGCCAGATTACGAGAGGTGCAGCAGTTCCCTTCTCTGTGTCCACAAGCCCTTCTGCAGAATATCGCAGGAGGAGAGTCAGAAATATATGCTGGCTTCCCTGAAAAAGGTTAAAAAGTTGCATCAGATAATCTTGGATGTTACTGCTCTCAACCTGGGTGTAACTCCTGGCTAAGGCGTTACAGCTCCTGCTTCTCTCTTAGTGACAAATGCATTGTTGTGGTTTCAGGGGACGGTGCGGGCTGAAGAACTGCTTTCCTGTGTTGCCTAAACACATGTTAAAACGAAGTTGGGAAAGGTAGCACTTGGGTGGCCACAGGCACACGTGGCTGAGAAACTCTCTTCCCACTTTTCTCAGGTACAGGTAGCGATCGTGGCCCTTTCTGGCAAGTTGGGGCGTAACGTTAGGATAGCAAGGCAGAAATTTTAAATAGGCCATGAGGAAGAAAGAGAAAATCCTTCCCGTTTACTGGAAATGTATCACTGTCATAGTGTGGAGTGTATTTTCTGCATACTGAGGTGCCAGCAGCTGGACAAATAATGAATTAGATTTGGAAATAAGGAATATTGGTTGTCTTCAATATACATAGAGAATGTGAATATTGTATAAAACAACAATAAAAATAATCTTAATTTGATAAATAAATAGAAGTATTTTATTTTTTTTTAGGGAAGACTAAAGCTAGGTGAGGCGTTAGCAGTACATTCACTTGCTGCGAACTTTGACAGAAAGTCCCAAATTCTCTTGTTCAAGAGAAGCGCAGACATGTAGCTTGATTTGGAGGGGCTACTGGGTCATCAAGCCAAGTCACCTACTGCCACTTTTTTTGCTTTCATGCATGCGTCCAGATTTCTCTCAAAATAATCAGTTCCCCCTGCCCTTTCTGCTGTCACGGAGGGGCTGTTGCTGAACCCTGCCGTTGCAGGGGGCAGGAGTCCTGTTTGCAGGCTTTGCTGAGGGGGTTCGCGCTGTTCATGCAACCGCCACTCCTCAGCCTGTGTTTCCCTGCTTCGTGTTCTCCCCAAAGCATAAATGTGCATGGCGCTGTAGTGTTACATGTGATGCAAAAGAAGTGGGTCAAAATCTGCTTCGACGATGGTGTAAATTCTTACTTCTCTTGACTAGTGTAAAGTAAAGCCTGTGTGAGTTTTGAGAGGTTTTTTTTAGGTGAGGATCTGGGGCTGGTAATCTGGGTGTGATTTATTTTCTCCTGATTTCCTCCAAAATAAACTCAGTTTGTGTAATATCACACCTAGTAACATAATACTAAAAGAATACCTTCCTGACAGGCAGGATCTAAACAATAATGTATACACCCTTTTATATTTTTTTAAAAGAGAGTACTCTGCAGGATATAAATCTATTAATTTAATGCCAAACTCTCTGGCTTTAATTTTCTATGGAAGCTTAGTATTATGTCAGCAAGGACATGCTTAATGAAATTACTGACAGGTACATTTTTAAAAGAATAGAAGGATACATTACTAAATGTTACACATAGCCTTTGGAATTCATTATTGCAGTAGACTGTAGAATTACCTGCTTCAGTGATTAGATTTAAAAGCTGAACTGGACAATAATGTGATTAATATAATTTGTAGGTTTGTGTGCAAAGATGAGAATAATTACACCTACTTTCATCTTTGAAGCCCTGCAGAACCTGGGTAGTTTGTATGGCGCTGTGGGTGTTCACAAGTGGTACGTGAAGGCACCGAAAGATTCGGCTGCCCCTGAAGCCGTAGGAGTAGGTTGCTGCTTCACCTTCCAAGTTCACAGTTTTTTCCAGCCTGTTGATAGTTACTAGTCAGACACACAAGTTGTCTGGTATTTTCAACATCACTAGCGCTAAGGACCTCAAATCTCCTTCCCTAACCCACTTTCTGAAATAGGTTGGCCTTTGTCATATCACTACAGTCTAAGTCTCATCAAAACCTACAAATTAAGCCACAAAGTAAGAACAGAAAGGTGGAATGCATGCGAGTGTGTCATAATAAAGGGTGAGGCAAAAGCCCTGTGTTACACGTGGAATGCATGCGAGTGTGTCATAATAAAAGGTGAGGCAAAAGCGCTGCGTTACAGTAGGGCAGGAGACCGAACACCCGGTCCAGCCCTAGGGACTTTGAAGGCAAGCTGTGTTACAGCAGAGTTCCCGAAAGCCGTGGCACTATGGCTCTCTTCTGTACTGAAAATTGTCTGTCTGGGCACTAATGGTTTTCAGTCTCTCGTAATCTTAAATTGAAGGCAATGGCAAAATTCCCAGTTCCTTCAGCAAGGCTGGGATCTCCATCTCGCCCTGGTTTAGGATACGTAACATCCCAAGTGCTGTCCGACAGCTAAGCTAAAAGCAACACTTCTCCTAGAAAATACCTAAACGCAGAGTTAATACACGATACATGTATTCGCAAGTGGATAAATTAGCTTGGACAACCAGCATGTAAAGAGTCAGCAGAAACAAAACTAGAGGATAATATCAACAGCCTTGTGGTATCCTTCATGTGAATGTTTTATTGTTCATCGGAGTGTGGGATGGCCGTGCGCTGTGTTGCCTGGAAGGGTATCATTTCAGTCATAAGTCAGCAGAGGCCAAGAATATTTTAAAGTAAACTGGTATGCATGGAAACTGTGGTGCCTAAGGCCAGAAACCTATTTCTAATGTATTCCACACTGAGATAATCTGAAAATTGTAGGTTTCTCCTGCTTGCAGTTGTTGGGATTTGTTTCCGAACCGAAAATAGTAAGACCTGACAGGGAGGGCTTAATCCCAAATTTGTTCTGGCTCTACAGATAATTTAACTGTGCTGCAGAGGTTCATAGCTACAAAATAATACGTGATAATAACTTTCAAAAAAGCATTAGTGGGTTTTCTGAGGCTTGACAGCATTTGAAGAAAAACAGAAAAACCTTCTTCAGATGTACCTGTAGCACCTACAGTACATAGGATAGCACACTGTGTTTGAATAATGTGAAGGTTCCGTTTTCTTAAAAGTATTCTGGAGATAGACGCGAATAGAAATTGCTTCTCCTTAAAAGGCAAAATTAACAGCCGTTGCTTTTCAGCAAGCCAGTGCGCTGATACCGTGCTGAACGTCATGGTGGATTGCAAGCCTTTTGCTGGGTCAAGCTGACCAGTTTTAGTGGGAGAACCTTGATAAACAAAATCCTGTGGAAATCAAGTGTTGCAGGTGTGAGGAAACGGATTAGAAATTGCTTTTGATGTAGTCCCTATGTAAAATTGCAGCGTGGATGGGCTCCAGTTACAGGGACAGTAGTAGGAGCATAAGGAGGAGTGTGAACGGCAGCCTGAAATGGGGGGAGGCAGCAGCTCTGGACGTGGGGACAGGCAGGTTTGCTCTCCCTCGGACCCTCCCGTGCCGGGTTCGTGTCTGCCACGCTTTCCCATCTGGTGCCGTATTCCTGGGGAAATGTACTCCTGACATTGTGGGACTCAAACAGAGTTTATGGAGGGAAGCCTCTGTCGCTCCTGAAGCCTTCTCTGCTCTGCACATGCACAAGTTCAGTATCTGGAAAAGCCTTTTCGTCTCCTTGACACAAAACTGCTCCTGGTGTTTCAAAGTTTGCTCCAGCAACTGTTGATCCTAAACTGGAGTGGCCGTAAAAGCTGACTAAAGGGAATCCGGTGCAGTTGCTTTTCTTATGTTGTTGCTTGTTCCTATAGAAACATCTTGTTTCTGTTTTGTAAATGGTTTCTAGATTCCTCCTGTGAAATGAATGTTAGCCCAATCTTTGTTTTGCGATTTTTTTATTTAAACTCCCTCTAAGTATGTCACTTTTATTGGTAGCTGTTGTAAAGTACTTTTGGTATTAAGAATGTTTCTAGTTTTCTTGCACTTGCTTTTTTTTTCCCCCAGAGGAACAAGTTAAACTTAGTTTTCCACTATCTTGCTTTTCATCTGAAAGTGAGGTATGATTTGTTTTTCTCATTTCCTAATCTATTAATCTTTTTATATTTAAATATCAGATTAAAATTAGCCTAGAGAAACGAACCTGTTTGTTTGGGGTTTTTTCCCTCCAGACAGTTGAAATTAATTTTGTTGTCTTAATAGTCTGTTGGCTGAGTATCAAGATCTTTTTACCGCTTACATTTACAAGGTCAAATACTAACCATTAGTTTCATGCTCGCAAAGGATGCGAAGGGATACCGTTCTCCTCCTGCTATAGTAGAAGAGAAAGAAAATCAGAAACAGTTCAATAAAATTATTTCCCCTTCTCGGTCACGTTTCACTTTCTTTTAATTAAATGTAAGAAATCTTTTTAAGTATGAGAAAGCAGAGTGAAATCCTGGTTACATGCCAGGTGTTACTAGTAACAAAACTGTCTGTTTGCATACGTGGAGGAGGAGGAGGCAGAAAGCCTGCGCCCGGCCAACCCGTGCGTCGCCGGGTTTTTTGCCGGTGCCCTGCGATGAGGCAAGGCTGCGGTTCGGAGAAAGAGGAGGCCACGACCTGGGAACTTGCCGTTTGCTACAAAGCTCCAAAGCCCCTCCGTGGCAATACGCTGGGCGGTCAGATGGCTGAGTACCGGCAAGATTGGGTAATTCATTCCTCCGGGACTTACATCGCTGGCTACCGAGCTATCAAATATCCGTAGCTGTGTGTTGGCTGGTACCTGTCCCCATCTGCACCCAACAGAAGTTGGTCTCTTATTTTGGAGGGGAGGGAACTTGCGGTTTCTTCCGTCCTGGCCTGTGCCATCTGCTCACTTTCTTCTCGTATTTTTCTGTAAGATTGAGCTAGAAGTATTTTCAGTTTTAGTTTGCGTCCTTAACTGAAATGACTTTGTGAGACTCTCTCTTCTGAACGTTAATGTTCTAGCTTTCAAAAATACAGGAGTGTTTTTCAGTAAGTAAGCGTGTTCCTAAAGTCACATCTCAGTGCCTTTTTTGACTTTTAAGCATCTATGGGCTTCAGCGATCAGACAGACCACCTGTTCCCTGAAGTAAAAATAACCATGACTGGAGTAAAATAGACAGTGAGCAGTTAAATACCGCAGAGGAAACTTTTAACTTGAAAAAAGGGAAAATGTGCGGGTGGGTATGTAACTGTGATATCTGTGCATTTCTTTATTACACTTTTTTTAACATCTCCTTTAGATGTCATTAAGCACGTGTTTGCTACTAAACTCGAAAGGGGTTTCTTTTCTATCTAATGTGGAAATAATTCTCTCAAATGTGCCATCTCTTTTTCTTTCTTTTATAACTGTAAATGTGACCAATTGTGATCTGAGGCATGTTACAAAGAATTTGGAGACACTGCTGCTTTTCTGTGTTGGAGATTAACTTTGCGGATACCTTTTTCGTGCTCCCCTCTCTCTTTGCCTTCTTTGCCCAGCAGCATTTTTTCGGCTGTAAAATCACAGGCTTTTACCTGGAAAGCAGTTATTTTCCTAGTCCATTGGACTTTTCTCCTCTGTTGCTGGAGTTCACGTTTGTGTAACACCCTTTTGGGCGGTTGATGCAAGAAGAGAGAAACTGATAGAGTTGTACTCAGCCTGATGCTCTTGTCCAGTGCGGGGTGGGAATTTTTCAAGTTATCTGAGCAACAGAAGACTGTTGGGGTTTCTTCAGTTCATTAGTTGTGAAAAATAGGAAGGGGGATGTTATTTGGTTTGTTTTGAAGGATCTTGTACCTTCAGAGTAGTTGAATGGATTATTTTTTTTTAATTATTATTTTTTAACAAAACATCCTGAATCTTCAACTGGAGCAGGTTCCTTGTGTTCATCCACTCCCTCCTCCCACAGAACAAAGGCTGTTGAACTTTATCCAATTATTTCACTCAAGTCAGTTACTTAGGATTTTTTTCCACACATGCAAAAAAAAAATCCCAAACCAAACCAACCATCTCCAGATCCCTAGGCTAAGTGTGGGACACTCTGGACCAGGCTTTCTTTAGGGAGGCTGGCAGGAGGCCCCGGCTACCGCTGCCGGAGCAGCTTGGGTCTCTCATTTCAGACCACTTTCTTCTTTCCAGGGATGAGCCCTGGGAAACTCAAGTTGTTCTGGCACGGATGGCAACCCTGAGCACACAGAGGTTCACCGGCACACAGATGTTGCAGTAGTTTGTCATGCGTGATCCGTGCATGGCCAGCAATTCCACCACGTCCAGCAAGTGTGGGGTGCCCTGGGCGTGGGTATGGGGCTCCATCACTTGCCGAAGAACGGGCTCCAGCAGTGACTGTGCCCTACGAGAAGCTGCAGGGACTTCAGGCAGAGCTTGTTGGGAATGCTGTGTAAAGACAAATAATCTTTGTGTAAGGACATCGTTGATACTATCCTTCAGTGAGCTAGCATTGCTGATAGCAGAAAAAAGAAACGCTAAATCTATGCTTCCATGCTCTCTTTGATTAGCCACAGGAAAATAAGTTCCCAAGTGTGTTGGGTAGGTCTGTGTCCCCTTCGGATCCGTTTGTGTTCTGCATCCTCTGAGGGCTTGGCAGAGTTACTCGGTGTGATCTGCAAACGGTCAGGGGCAGGAACTGTGTGCTGCCGGCAATTTGAGGGGAGAAGACCTTGAACTGGCTGTATTATACTTAGGAGGTGCAGAGAGGGATCAGCCTTAAACAGTTGCGAAAAGTTCAGTGCTAACTCTCTCCTTCTCTCCTCGTGAATAGCATGTGAATCATTGCAAATACGGTTTCTTTGGGGGGCAGCTGTGTTCTGATGGGATCTCGTGTTTCTCTGCATGGTCAAAATGGCCTTGGTGGGAAGGGGGTAAGCAAGAAAAAGTTCCTGCTGTCGGACCGGTGTGGAGTGGCCTCTGCTCATGAGTTACCATGTGCTTTCCTGAATTTAGGCAGCCCTGAGTTTGAGTGACTGTGCTGGAAGTTTGCCATAAGCAAGGGTAGTTAGTGGTCAGAACACAGATCATTTTGTGTGTTATGTTGGTGATGAACATAACTGGTAAAGCCACAGCCGGATGATTGTTGGGTTCAGTAGGCTGAGTGGATTTTACCTTCTCTGTTGTTTTAAAGCTAGTCCAAGAAAACATTCAATTATATGGGAGATTTTTTTTTCAGAAGCACTTCAGGCACGTAGGAGCACGAGCCGTGCTGGAAGTGGACAGAACTTGTGCGTAGTATCTCCTCTGCGACCTTCTTGGAGGTCTTTCATTCTCAGAAAAGGTCTTTTTATGGCAACCTGCGTCTGAGAGGGCACCTCACGGTTCTCAGTGAAGCATCCAAGCCCCTAAGCCATTTGGCCATGACAGGTCGGTAAATCGGTGACAGCGGTTCCGTAGTAAAGTTTTTCAGAGTTTGGATCTTCAGGTTCTGACTTTCTGCCAGTAAACAGAGAAACAGCAGACAACAGCTTTGCTGATGAAAACGTGCCATTTTGAATAGGGAGGGAATTTTTGTAACACCAAACCTCTGAAAAGACAAGAGAAAACTTGGGTGCCTGCTGGGAACCTTTGGGTACTGCAGTTGGCTTGTGAAGAACGTTACTTGTAAGAGAACTTCTGGCTGCAATGTAAAAACTTATTTAATATTTTTTAGTAATTTGGAGTATTGTAACATTACTGGTGTTTGCCCTAATGGTTCTATTTTAGCTGCACCTCTGAAGAAACGTGTTTGTCCAGCATGTGAAATGTTATGCAATAGTAAAGAAAAATATGCCATCTGTGGTTTACAGCTGATCATCTGTTTTCAGCTTCTCTTGTTTTTTGCCGAGTTGCCTGAAGCAAGACATACTCAGCCTGAATTAACTGAAGCAGACTTTGAAATCCTGAGAATTTCCATGATCATTCTGAAAGGTTTTGTATGCTCTTGAAAAATATTTTGAAAAATAACTTGACGCCTGTTTTGTAATTAAGCACACACTTGTCAATCTCTGTGCCTAGAAACTTGCTTTGTGGAATTGCTTTAGGAATTCATGAATCTACCTTTGTTTGAGGAGGAGAGGGTGAGATAAAGTCTTGCTTAAAAAAGAATAAAATAAGAAAGACCTAGGCAGCCTAAGTAAGGTGGAATTTACTCTGTACCCTGCTTAAGAGACTGCGTGCAACTTCTTGCTGTTAGCTTATCACAGCAGAATGGGGCTGCTAGGGAAACCCCCTCTCTCACAGCTGCCTTGTACCAGGAGAGACAGTGTGGACACGTACAGTTAATGGTGCTGAGCTGGCCCGGTGAGTCAGGGCTGGTGGCTACGTGCCTGCTGCTGGCCTCCTTGCCAGTCTCCGCTTGCCCTGTGTGAAGGCTTCCAGGACGTCACCAAGTACCATTAATAATCCAGAGAATAAATTAATAATAATAAGAAATGATTCGTTTGTTTTCCCCCCTCCTGGTTGTACTGGCCAGTGGCTCGAAGCCTAAGCTACTTTGCTAGAAAATGTAGTGATTTCTCCTCCGCACGGTGGGTGTTTCTCTCAGAAGCGGTCTCCGCACTGCTTGATGTGAGCTCTGCTCTCATCCCCTCCGCCATCTTCCCGTAGGCACGTGCTCCCCGCGGTCTCTGCTTGCAGGAAACAAATAAATATATTTTCCCTTCCCAGCACATCCTTTCTCTTTTCCCTAATTGTTGTGATCAATATACCACTTCGAGGAACAGTTTGTTTGTCTCCCTGTGCTCTTTGGGAATAGAGGGATGAGAGTTCCTGAACTAACATCGTGTTCGGGGGGCAGCAAGCCCCCTGCCCTGCTGAGTCTGCAAAGGCTCATGACAGGCTCTGCCTTTCTTGAAGAGACTAGTCTTGAAACACTGGAATTAACGAGGAGTCAGCGTTTATTTGAATTACGTAAAGCACAGTTAAAGCCAAAATGCTGAAAACTGGAGTTTCCATATCCAGTGAGGGGAAGAAAACCACCTGGGCCTGAGAAGCGGGCTGAAAAGAGACAAGGCGGCGGCTGTCAGGACGTAACCTCTGGTGCAGCAGTTCTCCATGTTCAGGCTTTTCTGTAGAACCACAAAAAAAATTGAACACAGTATTTGTTACTCTTTAGGCTTCCTGCACCCCTCCCTTTCTGGGATTCAGTACTGAAGCTTAAATCAAAATCTTTATGAATAAGCGAATAAAAAAAAATACTCGAGCGCACACAGCTGAGGGACTGTAGGGGCTTTCTTGGGGTTTTTGTCAGTAGCGGCTGTGTTACCTTTACCCAGCCTTCATTCAGTCAGAAGGTTCTGCATCGTGGCCTAAAGTCTGGCCTAGAAAAACAGTATTAGCTTCTGTTGGTCTTTGCTGGATGTTTTGCTGTGGGAATGGGAATTCACTTCATCACTTGCCTTCTAATGGAGGGCCTGGCACTGCTGTGGGAGAGAATTTCTGTTTTTTCACCAAGACGGTGCCATGTAACCCAGGATGCAGAATACCTTTCATCAGTGAAGACAGACCTAAATATACGTGTTTGCTTTGAATCCAGGAGTAGACTAATTGCACGTAGAGTTTGGAGGTGCTTTGTTGGACCTATTGATCAGTTGGCTGAAATATTGATGAGTACCTGCTGCATTGCTGACTAACGGAAGGATTAGAAAACTCGTGTTCATCATCTTGAAAGCGTGTTCGCCCTGTCATACTCGAACACAAGGCAATAAAGTTTTGTGCAAAGGATCTCTGGACAGTGGGGAAGGAGAGATGGGATTTCAGGCTCTAATCTAGTTAGGATTTACATGTTGAAACAGTTGCATGTTCTCTGCGGTAATATTTAAAGATAGCATCTTCATCTAAAGATGTACGTGGGCCTTTCTGTGCACTTGCCCCATCATTTTTCTTTTTGGGAGAAGTGCAGAACTTGTTTCCCCTCCCCTTTGCTTCTTTGTACCACCACTTTGTGTCTGTGTGGTCCTTGGGTCTGTCTTCCTTTGCCCGATTTCCACAGCTTTCTACGCCAACGTTGGGATGGGTGTTTGCCTTCTTCCTGGTCGAATCCAGTGCCCCTCTCTCAGTGGTGATAGCAACCCTCCCGTTCCCTCTGCTTTGGTGTGAAATACTTTATGGTTCGTACTTAATAGTTTTGTATCGTTCTTCTGGTTCTGAAGATATTCTGGAGATAATTTATAACAAATCTACTTCAGTCAAATCCCTTCCCTGAAATTACAGGCATCTGATTCCATTTTGGTTGCCCTGACGTCCACATTGCACAGACAGGTAAGATGTATGATCTACAGGAGAGCTTTACCCCTTGGGAGTGGCATCTGGAGGGGAGACAGGCTGTCAGCTCTTTGTAGTGTCACTTCACATGTCCCAGGTTTGGACAAGTGAGTCTCAGCCTTAACATCGTACCGAAGTCACAAGCTACGTAACAGTTTCAATTTCTTGATTTAAGGAGTAGCTTTATTGCATGTTTAGCTTATTTTTACACATTCAAATAGAAACAACTGAGACTTGTTCAGAATCACCATAATAACAACTGATTGTACAACATATTTCCTAATTTTTTCTTCTGTCCACAGGTCCAGCAAGAGCAAAGAAACCACACTACAGAACCTGTAATAGATGACTATAAAAAGATGGGGACTCTCTTTGGTGAACTAAACAAAAGCCTTATCAGAATAGGCTTCACAAGGATGTACTTTGGAGAACGGATAGTAGAACCTGTAATAATTATATTCTTCTGGGTTATGCTCTGGTTTCTTGGCCTACAAGCTCTTGGACTGGTTGCTGTTCTGTGCCTTGTCATTATTTATGTACAACAGTAAAATTTTATAGATGCTGTTCAGATTACATATTTCAACACTGTTGCTATGTCAGTGGATTTATATGTTTAAGTAAATAGGTGGTGTATCAAAAGCTGCAATGCTTTGAATTGCATTTCGCTGAACTTCCAACGCTTGGGGTGAGGGGGACTAAAATTATGGATTTTAAGCAAAATCAGCAATTTAAAAAAATTAAGCAAAAGTCAGCAGTGCCCTACTACATCTTTGAAGGGCAAAAAAGGAGATGTTTGCCATAGAATGGTGTCCAGTGTACTGTTCTCTGCACTCTTGGGGCCTTAGTCCAAGGATTGGCCTTTTTGTTCCCCGCCCTCCATGTTCTTGCTTTGTATAGTGAAAATTTCCTGTCTGGTTTTAAGAGGACACTTGATGTGATAGTCCTGTTTCTCTGTTGGGGGTGGCTCGTGTGCTGTTTGTTCCCTGAATCTGCATAATTTGCTGGTTTTTTCCTGAAAAGCTAAATCTGCACGAGGGAGGTTTGCTAACAAACCTACAATGACAAGCGTTCATAAGGTGACTACAACTTCCCGACACAAAAGCATCTTCGGTTAGTGTAGTTTATAGCAAGCTTTCTCCCAGGAAACAAGGTATGCCAGCAAAATTCTTTTATACAAATATTAGTGACTTCATACAAGGCTTCAGCTGTTGTTTAGGAGGAATCACAGTCCTTTATTGGCCAAACAGTCTAACATAGCTCTGCCTTGGTTTTGGAAATGTATTCGGCTCCTGCTGCTATTTTTCTTTCGTGGTTTTTTTTTTTTTTTAATACTTGCTCTTTCCCCCAGCCCTCCTTCTGAAGATAAATATTTGGATAATTCATGGGCTTTGTAGGTAGTTACGGCTGCAGTGTTGGAGAATTGCCATTCCAGCCGGCAATGCTGAAGTGTCTGAACACCCAGATAGATACCAGATCTCTTAATGCTTCCCTAATTTGCTGCAGCGTGGACCCAACAGGAGCTAGGAGTTTTGCATATGTAAGCAAATATCAGACCCATTTCCTCATGCAAGGCAAGAATGTAGTTGAAATCAGGTGGTCATTTTATTTAGTAGTCTTAACTGATTCATTTCCACGCTAGGGAACAAAAATGCATATCTATAGGTGCATGTCACGGGCAACACAAACAGGAGCATAGGATATATATGTTCAAGAGTAGGAGCAGAATTCACTCCGGCTCCCCAGGAGCCACAGCAGGGGTGTATTGAATATTTCCAAGTTGAATGTGCTCATTTAAGGAAAAACAGTAAAATGAGACAGAATCTTTTCCAAATAGGCTAGCAATTTAATATTTGCTATACATTACTTTTAGTAAGAAACTTAATTGCAAAATTGACTTCCTCTGTGGTAGAGTGAAGTTACACATTTATTTAAAGAAATGTAATAGAAGATGTGAAATTTACAGAAAACTACTTAACCTTTTGCAGTGAGTTTTTCCCTAAACATTTTTATACTAGCAGAGATCAACAACAGAGGAGTTGAAAATGCTGTCTTTGGATCCAGAGGCTTTTGAAGTTAAGGAGAGCTTCTCTATGCTCCCAGTCCTGCAACTGGATTCTCAAGGCTGATTTTATGCCTACATGGATCATGTTGGCTGCTGGGCTCTTATTTCCAAGCCCCTTGGCCCCAGTCCTTACTCCTGTTAGTGAAAAAATTGTTATTTTAGGGCAGTGAAGATGAAGGCCCAGCTCCTTTAAAGTCTTTATGTGCCTAAATGTCATCTGTAGACGTGTCTTTGGGCTCTTCTGCAGAATGCGTAGTTACCTTCTGAGGAGCCAGCTCTGCGCACCGGATCTTCCAGTGACCGTGACTGCGAATCGGAGAGGCTCTGCTGCACCGGCTGTGTGTTCAGATGGCAACCTGCATTGATTGGTGCCCAGTTAAATAGTTGTGCTGGTGGCAGGGAGATGTTTGACGACAGAAGGTGATCCTGGATACAGGGGTTTGTTATTCACAGCTGGAAGTCTCAACGCAAACAGCAAGTACAGGCTGAACGCTGAGGCAGGAGCTCTGTACTCACAAGTGCCTAGGGGTGTAAACTTTGGTTTTATTTCAAATCCCTTAGAAAGCAGAACATCTGTTTACACCTTTGCATATGTGTATAGATACAATGGTGGCTTTATGTGTATTCTTCTCCTGTATAAGGGCTCTACTACAAAAGCATCTTGTCATTAAAAAAAGAATAATAATCCTTCCTTTCTTCCCACAATCAAGTTACTGTTCGGAGGATTGCATCTAATTCCTTTCGTCTTGTAGGAAAAAGTGTCTCTCTGATATCCTTGTTGCAGTAGTACTCTTGTGTAAAGACACCATGTTGTGAGACGGCGTGTAGTATTTCCTTGAAGTGGTGATTGTGCTCTGTACATAAGGAATGGGGAACAACGAACCGAGGGTGTGACTGCCAGGTTCAGCGAGGACGTTGTTTATATGCATGTAACCTTTTAGCGTGTGCGTAACTATGGCTCTTTCACTCATGAACTCATTTCAGTTGTTCTTTCGATGGTCATGGTTTTTATACGTGTACTCTAGGGAAAGGTAGCTTTTGGACTAAGATTGCGTACAGTGAATGTTTTATATGGTTTCTCTTAAGGGTAACTTAACACGTCTTATCCCTCATAGACATTTTTCATTTTTAAAAACCTGAAAAACTAACCCTCCTAATGGAGTTAGGTTGACTGAAAATTAAAAAAGAAAAATAATGAATTGCATGGAAGATACCCCTCGCCTGTTTGGTTTCATACATTCCATCATATATGAGAATTTGCACCGAATCATCTGTCCTAATTTTGTGCTACTGCTATACCATCTCCCTGTCATTTGCAGGAAGGGAAGGAGGAGTTAAGGAAAAAAGGGGACTGGGACACAATGGGTCGTAAAGAGTGGAGAATGAAATGCGGTGAAATGATGCATATATGTGTCAAAGGAAATCTGATCGTAAACGTGTGCCAAAAGTGAGGGGGGCGTGGGTGAACAGTCCTTGCACTGTGTGCTTCCTTCCATCCAGATGTAGTTCCAAGGCAGAGGAAGCACCAACCGTTCAAAGGATGTCCCTAGCTAAAAAGCAGAAGATTAATTT